TCCCTTTGCAGGGGGCGTCGACCTCCCAGTACAGGGACGTCTCAAGGTCTAATCGAACGTTTGATTAGACGTTGTGATCATTTACCATGTGACAATTCACAATCGACTTGAGAATGGTCCAGGACGGACCGAAACGTCGTCGCCCCTTCATTTTCTAGTGTGTGGTCTGGTCAACATATTTCAGCCACGTTATTGTGACTCCTCGCCTGCGTGATGATTGCTTAACATTATTTTAATTAAATTAAACATCGGCAGTGATGAGTGGAAATGTGCGAGGGGGAAATTACAGCTGAAATGAGTGAGTGGTGGTGTATACAGATTAGTTAATTAGTGGTGGTGTGGCGCGGGGCCAGCGTTGCTATGGTTACTCCCGCCCAGGCTCTGTTGACACTCATGCACTCACTCACTCACTCACTCACTCACTCACTCACTCACTCACTCACTCACTCACTCACTCACTCACTCACTCACTCACTCACTCACTCACTCACTCACTCACTCACTCACTCACTCACTCTCTCTCTCTCTCTCTCTCTCTCTCTCTCTCTCTCTCTCTCTCTCTCTCTCTCTCTCTCTCTCTCTCTCTCTCTCTCTCTCTCTCTCTCTCTCTCTCTCTCTCTCTCTCTCTCTCTCTCTCTCTCTCTCTCTCTCTCTCTCTCTCTCTCTCTCTTCACAATAAATGAATTAAACTATGCGGTTCTGTATTTATTGAAAGGTTTCAGCTGGCGCTCCCATTTACAACGGGTTGCGGTTCATCCAATAATCGCGTTAGGGACCAAATTGATCACCAGAGGGACGAGGAGCTGGAGCCCAGCCACCAACACCCTTCACTAAACGTTAATACTATTGGTGGTACGAATGTTTGCTTATCGGGCCACGATTCATCAAACATTTAAGAACTCTTACGAAACCTGTGCATCTTTCAACAATCAAGGCGGCTTAGTTTACATTTATTAAATAGTTTATGAGTACCGAAGCACTGAGATGATTGTTTATAATAATAATAGACTTGGGTTGTGAAACATCGAAGCTCGTATACTGTTTAATAAATATAAATAAAAGCCGTTATGGTTGTTGAAAGATGTACAGGTGTCGTAAGTAAATTCGTAATTGGTTGTTGAATCGTGACCTGTATATATATGTTCGTATCGGACCCTGTTGGTTGTTCTCGGAAGGTAAACGACCAGTGTCCTTTCCTCCTTAGGCTTGCTGGGGAGTGGAGCTTCAGCTCTTGTGCCCAGATTTTACGTACGATCTATCCAGTTAGCAAATTTACAAACCTTTTCGGGTTCTCGTTATATCTTTATTTGGATCTGATAAAGGGTATTTACCTATTTATACTCACCTATTTGTGCCTGCAGGATCGAGCATTGGCTCTTGGATCCCGCCTTTCTAGCCGCCGGTTGTTTAAAACAATGACTCCTGTTCTTCTCTATCATACCTAGTTTTAAGGCTATGAACAGACTTTACTTCCACAACCTGTTCCTTTAGTTCATTCCATTTCCCCACTACTCTCACGCTAGAAGAATACTTTCTAACATCTCTGTGACTCATCTGAGTTTCCAACTTCCACCTATGTCCCCTCGTTCTGTTAGTATTCAGTGTGAACATTTCGTATATTTCCACTCTGTCAATCCCCTAAGTATTTTGTATGTTGCTATCATATCTCCCTGCTCCCTCATTTTTTTCTAGCGTCGTCAAGTTCAGTTCCTCCAGTCGCTCTTCGTACCCCATCCCTCGCAACTCGGGGACGAGCCTGGTCGCAAGCGTCTGAACCTTTTCCAGTTTCCTTATGTGTTTCTTCAGGTGGGGGCTCTATGATGGGGCTGCATACTCTAAGACTGGTCTCACGTAGGCAGTGTAAAGAGCTGTGTGTGTACCTCCAGTGTGTGTTGTACAGGAAGCTGAAGGTGTGCATGGAGATAGGCTGCAGGCCGAGCAAGGCGCAACGCACCTCACCCCTGACATTAAAGAGGAAGCCCTCCTCCTCTTCCTTGATCCCTCTCCCTCCCCACCTGCTCCTATCCCCTGTCCCTCTCGTCCCTATCCAACCCCTATACACCCCTCAACCCTCCCCCGACACGCCTATCTATCCATATAACCCAGACTACCCTTTATAACAAGGGATGCGGTAGCTTCACACTTTGTAGCCTAAACTGCATCAGATATATCTTAGGCTATTTCCCTCGCAACACCTCATCTTTCGTCAATATTACTCTGCTTTAACTTAACCCAGTACGTCGTATTTATGACGGATTACTAAGCTTGTTGAGTAAGATTGACTGATACCCAAGAATGGATTCGAGCCCCAAAATGGGTAATTTTTTTTTAGCTCATGGCCATGTCTGTGGTAGAAAATATTTTTACAATGGAATCATTCATTAATACATGCATTCATTCATTCCTGCATTCATTAATACATACATTCATTCATTCCTGCATAGGTTTAAGTGTTGTATGCGTCTGACCAATGACCACAATACCTACATGAGTGCATATGTTGTGTTATGTGGTCAAACACATACCACAACGCAGGTGTTGTGAGGACGAGCCACGGGCAGGTTTTAGGCCCAAATGACTGGTTGTAACTGCGTACTTGCCCTGTCTGACAGTCTCCTGAGCTCAGCATCAAATTATCCAAACCACGTCTCTGTTTACCATCAGAGTGGTTCCCTTATTAGCATCAGTTCTTTGCTGATGAGTATTATGGTCAATAAGTTCTTATTGCAACAGCTGGTAATAGATTCTTGGCAACTTTTAAGCAACCATCATCATCTGCTGCCCTCCACCACCCCCCAGTGTTGTTGTTGGTGAGGTCGATTGTTATTGTTGGTAAGGGTGATTGTTGTTGACGGGACAAGCTAAAAGCATAACCCGGGTGTATTTATGATAAGAATATTGAGATACGATGACACAGACAGGCCTCAGCATGAACCTGGACGAGTCTGTGTCGCCAGCCACAGACACTCGACGTCTCACAGTCCGTGAATACTGACTAGTCTTGCCCCCCCCCCCACAGTCTGTCATGCGGCGCTCCGGTCTCTCCACCTGTACTCAAGTGAAACGGAGAGAGAAATACTAGACTAATTGGATAATGAGAGAGAGAGAGAGAGAGATGTAGGCTTACCATTCTCTCTTCATCTCCCTTCTGATCTTGGCCTCTTCTGAGGGCGGGAAGGAGAGAGAGAGAGAGAGAGAGAGGAGGTAAATCAATAGCAAGCAGTATGTTAACCTGGGCGACGAGCCTGCCTCTCTCCAACCTCCTCCACTTCCTATTCCTCCTATTCCACCTCCTCCTTGGAATAACATGAATTTAGTGTTGCCTCGACACGAAATAATGTTTCAATTCAACTGCCACATAAACCGTATCTACCACTTGCAACCAGTCTCAGTAGAACCACCTGTTGCTGGTTCTAGAACCACCTGCTGCTGGCTCTATAGAACCACCTGGTGCTGGAACCACTCCACCACCACCTCCATGGGGTCCAAATAATAGGGGGACCAGCCGGTTTAACCGGTTGACAGGGCCAGCCGGATCAACCGGTTGACAGGACCAGCCGGGTCAACCGGTTGACAGGACCAGCCGGATCAACCGGTGGACAGGACCAGCCGGATCAACCGGTTGACAGGACCAGCCGGATCAACCGGTTGACAGGACCAGCCGGATCAACCGGTTGACAGGACCAGCCGGATCAACCGGTTGACAGGACCATACTAGTTGACGGGTGCTCGTATACCTTCAGCAATATACCGGGTGGGGATTGTCGTGGATTACGCCCCTAATGACCCGTGCAGCAGGAGTAGATCACTGAGGATTTACGATGGATTACCAGACGAGACAAAGGGTGTGACCCCCACCTCAACCTGACTACCTCCCTGCTCCCTGGCTTGATGACTTCATTGCTCACTGTTAGAGGACTGTTGCTCACTGTAGAGGACTGTTGCTCACTGTAGAGGACTGTTGCTCACTGTAAGAGGACTGTTCCTCACTGTAGAGGACTGTTGCTCGCTGTAGAGGACTGTTGATCACTGTAGAGGACTGTTGCTCAAAGTATTCAACATTGTTAGAACTCGTTCACTGTTATTGCTCGAGCTGCTTTGTGTCGTCTTATTTAACTGTTGCTCATATGTCCATAGCTCTGTACATCTAGAAATAATTTATTGTTCACCCAGTTGTAATTGGGTACTTGACTGTAAACCAATTGGCGGGTTGTGTTCCAGGGAAAACTGGCAAAGACTTAGCATGAGCTATGGGAAGAGGAAGCCCTCAGTCTCCTAACAGGAGTCAGAAGTCGTCCGCTCCTGTAAACACCTCAGTAAAAAAAAAGTAAAAAATAATTTGTTGTTGGTGTCATCCGTATGGAAAGTTATGTATCAGTAGTATACAATCTTACTTAGAAAGATTGTTTTACTAGTCATTAGTGGGATGATGGCGCAGTTCAGCCACTTACTGTTCTCACCAGGTGATTAGTCTCTACCGGGGCTCACAGAGACCCCCTCTCTCGCTCTCCTTCCTAAGTATTGAAAGACAAGATAAAATTTCGACGGAAATATCGGATCATAAGTCTTTGGTGTTCGCTTGGCGTCCTCCACTCCATCTGTCCTTGTTCCGTCAGTACGTAGCCCGTCCCTACTTTGTATTTATTTATTTATATATACAAGAAGGTACATTGGGTTTGTGAGAGTACATAACATTGGTGTTTTTACATTCTTGCCAAGCCACTAACACGCATTGCGTTTCAGGCAGCCCCTTCGTCTGTGGCCTGTCTCTTCCTCCACATTCCTCCTTGTCAATGTAGCTTCATGCACTCCAAAGCGTACTCCTTTTTTTGATCACTCTCTCGTCCACCCGTCCCATCACGTCCTTCTCGTCCCGTGGTCCGTCCCAGCCTGGAAGAGATCACCCGTCCCAGCCTGGGAGAGATCACCCGTCCCAGCCTGAGAGGGATCACCCGTCCCAGCCTGGCAGGCCAGTGGAATGTTTACGTTTGGGTGTGGGTGTCGTCAGTAGCGAGCTGGACGCCGGTGGTGGAGGGTGTGCGCTCCTGCTCTCTCGTGTACTGCCTTTATCTCGCACATATCTTGTGTTTCTTGTGCCTGGGAATTTTCACATGGTACCTAGTGCAGCTTAGCAGCGTCTTGGCCATACATTCTCGGTGTTATATATGAGGTGAGTGGCATGTGTGGCGATCCAAGCGGATTGTTTAGTGAAATTCAGCTGTAGGGTAAGCGAGTGTCGAGTTATTCACCGTGTAGTGAAGATCTTTCTGATATAAGTCCATTACCAGGACTGATGTAGTCGACACAGCTTATTAAATGGATTCGTCTTAGTGTCGTGTGTGTGTATGGGGTGAATTTCATTCAGTTTTTCACATTTTACAAAGAGGTTGCAATGGTAACCTTTATCCAAGTTTTGGGATTGATGTCTGTAACTAAGGCAGTGTTTGGCGTATAAATTGATGTTTTTAAAGTTTTTTTCTGCTGCTTTAAGTTGAACAGAAACATTTGTAGAAATTTGCGTTAATTTATGTTTATCGTCAGATGAACAGGTTGTATAAAATAATGGTTTTATTCATGTTGTTGTCCGCTAAAAGTGCGTGAGTGTGTAACTTGCTTGACACGGAAAATGACTTTTTTGTTACCGATGACAACAAAACAAAAACCAGACCTTTATTGTTTGTTGATGAAACTGGTCGTAGAGGCAGTGTGGGCGGATGTTGATAATCTGGTGAATATGACTAAACGCTTCGTCATTGGTTGTTTAATAAGATTCGGCTACTCTGAAGAAATAGTTGCAAGTAGCACGGGCTATGGCGAGCCCGTGGTGGACTTACCTGGTTCAGGAGCGGGGCTGTAACTGTCTCCATGGTTATAACAGCGACAGCTCATTTGTTTTATGTGAACGTAGACTAGCCGACACCTCGACATTTATGCATAAATCATGTTTAGCAGTTACAGCCCCGCTCCTGTGCCAGGTAAATCCACTACGGGCTCACCATAGCCCGTGCTACTTGGTTTTTTTTTTGTTCCGAGTAGCTGAATCTAAAACAACAACAATCCTATCTATTTTATTTAGAAGCAAGATTGTTTATATAATCTTGAAGATAACCTACTTCGTTTTGGACGTAAATATCACCTAACCCGTACTTAATAATATATATTTAACCAACAATCCCCACTTGTATATTATAATGGACATGAATTAATTGAATTCGTGGTCAGATGTCAACTCGATAACACCAGTGTGTGTTAATGACATATCGGAAATAATAACCTTTCTGTCGCCTCAGATTTTTTGGGGGGTTTGATCTGATGGTAATAGTGCTTTTGTAGTGTAGGGTTTTCCTCTTCGGCAATTCTCATACTTGTAATGCTTCTGTAAGTTCGATAACTTGATATCATTTGCATCTGTAATGTATTTATTAGCTGGTAAGCCTTGGGTTTAAAGGATATTATTTTCAAAGGGAACGACAGGCACCGCTCCTGTGCCAGGTAAGTTACGGGCTCACCATAGCCCGTGCTACTTGCCCCGCTCCTGTGCCAGGTAAGTTACGGGCTCACCATAGCCCGTGCTACTTGCCCCGCTCTTGTGCCAGGTAAGTTACGGGCTCACCATAGCCCGTGCTACTTGCCCCGCTCTTGTGCCAGGTAAGTTACGGGCTCACCATAGCCCGTGCTGCTGGGAACTTGTTCCGAGTAGCTGAATCTATAACAACAACAACAACAAAGGAGACGAGAGTGGCTGGTGCCTGCGTGCCCACCAACACACGGTAGCGGAAGTCAAACAAGGTCATTCATTCCTTTGTTACAGGTGCCCTCCACACACGCTGCTCCCAGCTGCCAGCCCCGGTGGGTACCCACACTGTGTAGTATTACGAATAAACTTAATAGTATAAAAGGGAGGGTAGAAATAGCCTAAGCTACTCTATCCCTTTGAGATGTAGTTTTATCTTGTCTCAATAAACATACGTGAACTTGAATAGTATAAAAGTCGTCAGCTTTGCTTCCATTTGGCGTTTAGGTTGTGAATTCTTTATAAAAAAAAGATGCTATTCTCCATAGATAGGCTGTCGGCCCCTTACCCTATCTCCATGGGTAAAGTCTTGTTTCATTGGTGAGCCATACAGCCTTTTTTTTATCTATGTTTCATTTAATGGTTGTAGAGACGTCGTAGAGACTTAAAGACGTTTCTACAACCTCTAAACCGAACCCGAAGGTTAGATGAATGTCATGTTTATTCGCCGCTTATGACCTCTTGATTGATGAAGATTAAGCCACCCAAGAGATGGCACGGGCATGAATAGCCCGTAGGTGGTGGCCCTTTGGAGCCATTACCAGTATCAATAGCTGATACTGGAGGATCTGTGGAGGTGCGACTGCACCGTATGACCTCTCTATTCCGGCGCTTGATAAACTATTCACAAATCTGGAATTAACCTCAGCCCGAGCCTTGTCGTACAAGTGGAAAACCTTCTCATCGTTTGAATCGGGTTCAAGTAAGTATATTGAGATAATGAAATACATCTCAATACCTCTTACGGGCTCTTCGGTGGCTTAATCTTCATTAATCATATCAAAAGGATAGAGTAGCTTAGGCTATCTCTACCCTCGTTTATTTACGGCCCCTCAACGGGCTCACAAATCCATACAGTACTCAAATATTAATCATATTTTTTATTTCACATTCCAATAGTAATCACCTGGTATACTGTGAGATTTATTATGTTGCACCTCTCATTTCTTGTTCCGGTAAAGGCAGACTAAACACGTTGGAGTAGATGCAAAATGATAATCTTAGGATCCCCAAGAAATGATATGATTGAGATAATGAGGATGAAGTTGAACTTACAAAGTATTGGGGATAGAATTTCGGAGATGTAGCCTTGGGGATTAGATTAATGAGGCGTGAGGGAGGTAATGAAATAATCCTCTCGATTAAAAAAAGTGGGAAGAATGAACAATGCATGTGAAAGCATAATAAGGGAGCGTGTCTGAGATCCCCATGTTGTAAAGTTAGAAAGTATGACGTTCTCCAAGAATGCATTGTATTGCCACAGAAACGATTAACACCATCCTGGGAGGAATGTAAAGTAGATGTAGTAATTTTTCCCTCTATGTTCTCAGACTTAAATTTGCCGTTGTCTGGTAATTCATTAAGAAGCAATAGTACCTTGGACACTCAACATCTTAAAACTTCTTGCTCAACACGAGTGTACTGTGCATCTCGTACAATCAAAGGTAATGCTATTCTTAATTATGTCTTCAGCTTCTGTTTTTTAAACCATTTTTCCCGAACTTTTCTGGCAACATTTTCCACCACATTGGGGTGGACACTGCCATCACTAGTGGAGAGTTAATTTTCCTGTTGACCAGACCACACACTAGAAGGTGAAGGGACGACGACGTTTCGGTCCGTCCTGGACCATTCTCAAGTCGATTGTGTTAATTTTCCTGAGATTCTTCCGTCAGTGATTCTCCATCTTCCTTACTTTCTTTCCCTCCGTTTCATTCCCTACTATACCCCATCTGTTTGTCAAGCTAATTTTTCTAGAGCTTCAACCCTCTTGTCCAACTTCTTGAGGTATATCAAGATTTTACCTCAGAACTGACGACACTGCCCTACACCTCATTATCACCAGGATACACTTTCTCGACTTCATTTCCTACTGCCATTAGGCTGGCCTTAATCGTCGTCGTTTCTTTCTCCCAAACGTTGGGCACAACGTTGTCTCGCCAGTGTTCCTTCCTTGTTCCTGCTGTACGGTCTTGTCTTCCTTCGCAGCTTCCTTTACCCGGCTTATGGGTGCTGGCTTGGGATCCCTGACATCAGATTCAGATTCTTTGTTCAGGTAAAGGTACATACATTGCTTTATATCTTTTATATCTTTTATATTTATATATAAAGGTACATACATTGAAGATGAGTTACGAACATGCAGGCGATGAGTCACAATAACGTGGCTGAAGAATGTTGACCAGACCACACACTAGACAACCCGTCCTCGACTCAAGTCCATTACATCCAGCGGTCGACCCCACAGACGCATTCATAAATTTTAATATGCTGTTCATTCAAAACGGGAATTTTCTCAAGTATAAATTAATATTATAATATATTAGCATATTGTGCATATATAGGCATAGGTTAGATTTGGTGTTTAGGTTCTGTTGGTGATTATTTGTTTTTGTAGTACGTGGGTGAAGCATTTATAGCGTTGTGATTCGAACAAGATTCGTCAGTGAAGCACTTGTTCCGGATATGTTCGAACGTCAGCAGTTGTGAGTCGTGTGTAAACCGCTTTTCATTCATAAACAGGGGGTTTGGCGGGTGCATGGAATCACTTTTGGATCTTTGTTTGGAGGACGGGCTGCACTAGAAGGTGAAGGGACGACGACGTTTCGGTCCGTCCTGAACCATTCTCAAGTCGATTGAGAATGGTTCGATGAGTCTATTGAGACTGGTCCGTCTTAGGAAAGACCGACGAGTTACAAACATAATGTTGGATTTAAAGAAAGAGGTAGTACATACAATACCTAAAGCCACTAGTACGCATAGCGTTTCGGGCAAGGAATGTTGAAGCCCATGTGGGCTTCATGGGACACACAGAGGAACCAGCATTAGCCGTCCGTAAAACAATATTGACACTGCGAGGCTGGGAATTGTAAACTGTGTACAAGTTATCATTGGTATTTTCTTGGGTCACCTTGTGCTCTGGTACACATAACAATCACTTCCTCATACTTTGTGCTCTTCTCATGCGTGTGCGTCGCTTCTCTTCCTAATAGAGTTGATTAAAATAGTTGTCATATTTGACTATTTTTGACAACTTTGCCAAATATAGTTGGTCGACTGTTGGCAGTAAAGCTGTGACTAATAAGATGTTGATATTTTTAATACACTATTAATATCCCCTTTGTTATGACCATTCATCCACTTGAACACCTATATCGTCTCACCGCTAATTCTTCGCCTTTCTAGAGAATGTAAATTAATCTTTGTCAATCTCTCTTCACACGAGAGGTTTCTAATTTGCGGGATTAACTTTTGTCATCCTTCGCTGGACGCGTTCTAGTGAATTGATATCCATTCTATAGTACAACGACCAAAACTGAACTGCATAATCTAAACGGGGCAGTAGATCTACATGGAGAGTGCGAAAAAATTATATT